AAACGGGGTTTCTGCATTTTTGATTGTACACGTGTTTGTTGTTTCACGTTAGGCACAAGTATGACTTTCTAATTGTTTTTATTCAGAGATTACGTGTGGTTTAAGGAGATGTGTATATATACCAAGTTGACAAGGGGTGAACGGTGATGGTTAAGATTGTCTATCAACTTGGCTGGGCCATGATTCTTAGTGTTATATGTTATCACTCCCATGATTGAATATGCTGTGAGTAGCCAACCAGTTGCAAGGGAGTTTCCTTGGGTTGTGGCCTACATCTGAATACAAGCAGACGTTCTGGCTTTTTGCTTGCTCTGGATTCTACAGCTGCCTTCTGTTCCTCTGGCCTTTGGTTCTTGGGACTTGAGCTATTAGCTTATCCGCCAATCCTGGGATTCATCAGTCTTCACAGCCTGTGAGTGGAGTCCTGCTTTCCAACCTTCCAATCATGGGTTCACCAGCCCCGGCGGCTACATGAATCAGGGGAAGCCTCTATCCTAATCCATGGATTTGGGACGTTCCAGCCTGTACAATCGTGTGAGCTTTTTTTTCATATAAATCTCTCTCTGTATATATTTACATGCTTTACTGGTTTTGCTTCTCTAGAAAATGCAGCCTAAGACACTCATATTGTGATCATAATTCATTTATTCACCATACATTATGTTCTATATTATGTGTCAGAAAATGTCTTATATATTAGGGTTACAGTAATAAACAAGAAGAGCACACTACCTGCATTCATGGAGCTTATGTTCTGGTGAGAATAGACATTAAATGATCCCACATGTAGCTACATAAGAACTGTAGTCAAACCCACTGTTGTCCAGTTGATTCTGACTCATAGCAACCCTTAGGACAGAATAGCACTGCCCCATAGGGTTTCCAAGGCTGTAATCTTTACGGAAGCAGACTGCCACATCTTTCTTCTGTGAGAACTGTGGTCAAATTACTGTAAAAGAAACAAAAGATTGTTTTTTTTCTTTAGACGACTTAATTAAAAACTTAGGTGACTTCAAAATTCAGGAATACATTATGATTTTGATGGAGTCCTCTGTTCAACATTTTTTTCTTTTCATTCTGTGCATTTTGAATAGCCCTGTATATCTGTATTTTTAAGAATATATATTGTTAATACTGGAAGGAAGGGAGGGAGAAACAGAGAGAGAGAGAAAGCAAGCAAGCCAGCCAGCCAAAATTCACTCCTTTCTTTTTAGAAAATATGTTCGTGCCTTCTACCCCAGGCTTCCAACAAGTTTGGAACAGTTCAGTAATTGCTGGCATAAAGTAGGGCAGCATACAGATTGCATAGCAATCAAATCTCTTGCCCATTGGATTTTGACCGGAGTAGGAAACACAGCGGTACCCTACTCAAAGATGGTGGCCAACTACGTGCTTTGAATGTGTGTCACTCTCCACAGCCCTGCCAGTAATCCAATCTCCCACATCAGGCTCCTGAAACTTTCGAGAACCATGCTGGAGATAGGATTATTGATATGGTGGTGCAGTGGTTAAAGTGCTTGGCTGCTAACTGAAAGGTTGCTTGTTCAAACCCACCCGCCACTCCACTGGAAAAAGATGTGGCAGTCTGCTTCTGTAAAGATTTACAGCCTTGGAAACCCTATGAGGCAGTTCTACTCTGTCCTGTAGGGTCACTATGAGTTGGAATAGACTTGACAGCAGTGAGTTTTATTTCGGTGGAGAGCGACACACAGTCAAAGCAGCGAGGTTAGCAGCCATCTTTGAATGGAGCACCACTGTTGGTTTCCTACTCGGGTCAAAATCCAATGGGCAGCAGATTTGGTTGCTGTGCAATGCGTACAGTGCCCTGCTTTAGGTCAGCAGTTAACTGAACCATTCCGAACTGGTTCAGAGCCCTGCTTCTACCCCTACTGAGAACTTGGCTCTTGACGTTTATATGTAGACGGTACTTCAGTATCATGAGACAGAAAATCAGACTCAATTATCGATAAAAATCAATTACATGTGACCTTTGTGAAATAGCAAAGTGACCTCAGGGAGATACATTTAGGGATTCTTATATGAGTAGGGTTATGTGTACCATATTAATTACGACGTCTTCCCTCCTCTTTTAACTTCTGGCATTTCTATTAGATATGATGACTGAGTTTGGATTAACATTTAAATATTTTTCTGTAATAAAATATCTGTTTTACCTTGGTGTAGTGTATCATAAATCCTCCAATGTCATTAAAATGTCTTGCATGGTCCTATATGATCTGGCCTCATCTCTTATGACTTTCCTGCAGCCTCACTCAGCTCCTGATACCCTGGCTCCTTTGACATTCTTCACATACCCCAACCATACTTCTGCCTCAAAATCTTTATATTTGCTTTCATCTCTGCCTAAAGTACTCTGTCCTGTTCAAGAAAGAGAAAGATTTGTTGAGTATTCCAGACACTGTGAGCAGCACTTTCCTTTGATCGTTCTTTTTTTTTTTAATACTACTTCACATAGAGAGTTAAAAACCTTAAGAGTATACTTCTGTATCCTCCCTTCTATTCTGTGTGCTTTGTTGTCATACATTTTACTTCTATATATGTTATAAACTCTGTAATACATTGTTAATATTTTTGCTTTAAACAATCAATTATCTTTCCCAGCAACTAAAAAACAAAAACAAAATGTTTTCTATATTTACTCACATGTTTACCATTGTTTTGTGTAGAGCCACATTTTTATCTGGTATTAATTTCTTTCTGCCTGAGGAACTTCCTTTAACATTTCTTATGCTGTAGATCCACTGGTGATGAATTCTCTCAGTTCTTGTTTGTCTGAAAGAGTTTTTCTTTTTCCTTAATTAAAAAACAAGAACATTTTCTCACCTGGGTATAGAATTCTAGAATGACAGTTTTGTTTTTTGGTTTTTTTTTTTGCCAGTATTTTAAGGATGGTGCTTTATCCTCTTCTGGCTTACATAATTTCAGATAAGATGTCTATTTCCTTATCTTTGTTCTTCTGTTAGGTAATACGAGTTTCTTTTTTGTCTGACTGCTTTTAAGTTTGTTTTTTGTTTTTTGTTTTTTGTTTTTTTACTATTTATCATTGATTTTTTAAAGCTAATTTGATTATGATGTTTCTTACTCTATGTTTATTATCTTGGGGTTTTGTTGGACCTGTAGGTTTATTGGTTTCATCAAATTTGGAAAAATTTTAGCAATTAATTCTTGAAATATTTTTCAGTCATAAGTCTCTTTTCTCTTTTTCTGAGAGTTCAATTACACATATATTTGGATAGCTTCACATTGTCCTACAAGTCACTTTTCTTCATTCTTCTTTCTTTCTGTGCTTAATTTTGGAAAGTATCTAATGCATGTCTTCAAATTCATTGATCTTCTGCAGTGTGTTTTCCCTTTTCATTCCATCCAGTGTATTTTTCAGTTCACATGTTGCATTTTCCATCTTTAGATGTTCCACTTGGATTTTAAAAATATCTTTGATTCTCTCTTCATGATGTTTCTGTTTTCTTCAATAATTTGAGCATGTGGAGATTATTTATAATGGCTGTTTTAAAATTGCTTCACTTCTGTCATTAATGGTTCTGGTTATATTTATTGAGTTTTCTTATGGTGATAGTTCATTTTTTCCTCCTTTGTATGCCTGGTAATTTTTTTTGATGCTGGATATTGTGAATGTTACAGTTTTACATACTGGACATTGTTGTATTCCTTTGAAGAGTGTTTGACTTTGTTCTGGTGTTCAGTTAAGTTACTTGGGATTAGTTTGATTTTTTTGATGCTTGCTTTTAAGCTTTATGGGACGAGTACAGATTATCCCTTAATCTAGTCTTAGTTTAGACCAACTGCTATGGTGCAGTACTCTTCTGAGGACTCTACCTGATGCTATATGCATTATGAAGACTTTCCACTCTGCCTGTTAGTAGCACAAACTCTTCTCAGACTTGTGTTTTCTCTGTGAATTGCTTTGTCTACTGCTTTCTGGTGATTCTTTCCCTAGCCTTGGATAGTTTCCTTTCATACATACACATAGTTGTTTTTAACCAAAGATTCAAGTGAACTTTTCTGTAGATCTCTGTAGCTTTCTGTCTGTGACACTCCCCTCTCTTCAATATTCTGCCCTGAAAATCCTAACTACATTTGTCTCTTTGAACTCCAATCTCCATTGCTTCAACTCAGTGAGACCCTTGGGCTCTATTTGTGTTTCCTACAGGGTCCCTGATTCAGAATCGACTCGACGGCAACGGGTTTTTTTATGCCTATCCTGTGGCCTGAAAACTGTCTTCAGGCAGTAAGATAGGGCAGTCATTGGGTTTACCTCATTTGTTTCCCTTTGCAGGGATCATAGTCCTGTGCTGCCTGTCCTCCAGTATCTGAAAGCTGTTGTGTCATAGATTTTTGTCTAGTGTCTAGTTGTTTAAGGTTGGAGGATAAGTCTAGTTCCTGTTATTCCTCATGGCTAGAGCTCCTTATACTTTTTAAAATATTATTCAGGAGAAATACTTTGAAATTTACCTTTTTAGGAATGTTAATTTGACTGCACTGTGTTCACGGGGGAGCCCAGTTATTGAGAATTCAGCTGGTAACCGAAAGGTCAGCAATTCTAATCCACCAGCCGCTGCTTGGAAACCCTGTGGGGCAGTTCTGCTCTGTCCTATAGGGTCGCTATGAGTCAGAATCGACTCAATGGCAACAGTTGTTTTGTTTTTGTTTTTTTTTTGGTATGTTCACAGTGAGAGAGACCTTTGAAAGAAAGATATACTAGAAGATAATTGCAAATTAAGTGTCAGATGGTAAGGTGTTACATGAAAATGTGGTAGTGGTAGGAATGGAGATGAGAGAACCTATCTAAAAAATATTTTTGTAGGAAAAATAGACAGGACTTGGAAACTGATTGGTGTGTGGGATAGAAGTGGGAAAGTCAATCATGACTTTAAAATTTTAAGATTATTGATAACAGTGATCCATTTAAAAGAGGGAAGGGTAAAAGATTATTAAATTTTCTTGACTCTTTTATATTATAGGAAATGGTGACAGAAATGTATTCTGGTCCTTGTGTAGCAATGGAGATTCAACAAAATAATTGTACGAAGACATTTCGAGAATTCTGTGGACCTGCTGATCCTGTAAGTTGTTGTTTAAAATATTAATCAAGTTTGTGTTTTCCATTCATTAAAGAGTTTAACAGGTTTTTTAAGTTATTCTTTAAACAAAATAATATAAGAGAATTTGTTCACATTTCATGATAAAAGTTAGTATAGTAGACAAAGATTTTATTCAAAATACCATTTTACATAATTTATTATTTATGCAATAATCTAAGAAAAACTGAATTTTGTATTAGTCTGGTGACAGTATAGAATGGGCAGAAACATTTATTGCAGCACTTTCTTTTATTGTTTCTTCTTGCTGAATTGTCTAGGTAAGTAAATTTTGCAGGCTCTGTGATAGAAATTATCTAAGGTATTATCCTTTGACCTCTGAGGCCAGAAATAAAGCTCTCAATATGAAGAATATTAATATGGGGACCTCATAACATATACATAAATAAATATGAGCAGTGGGTCTTAATGTGAAACTTGGTATTGTCTAGTATACCTTTCATTTTGCTTTGGTTTTTCTTTCTAAGGGTATTTGGTAGGAGAAAGTTGAAAAGCAGATGTAGCATTAGAATACGTATGAGAAGGTTCCATGCAAATGTTATACTTGATAGGATTATGGGAAGTACTACTGATTTTAAACACTACTTACAATTTAAATTTACTCTGTTTCTTTTATTTCACCATCACTTGTAGCCAGTTTATTGAAGATAAGCAGCCAATTCAATTCAATTTAGTTAAGATAACATTTATTGAATCTTCTTATGTATAAGATATTAAGTCACAACATCTATTAAGAACTCATCTTGTATGAGAGAGCCGGTAGATTAAGCCCAGTAGAGAAGAACAGTACACCTGTTGTCAGTGATCCAACAGTATGCACGTAAATATCTTTTAGAACACTAATAGAACAGCATACAAATAAGGACCAAAATATTGTTGGTGCAGGTAAATAATACAAAAACTATAAATGCTGAAGGGCTGTTTAGTAGGGAACAATTAATATGACCTGGGTGTATTTGGAAAATCTTTGTGAGAGGAAGAGAGATGTAAACAGGGATTTGAAAGCAGAATCAGGGCACTAAGAGAATGGGAATCACTCTAAAGCACATACAGGCATACCTCATTTTATTGCACTTCACAGATACTGCAGCTTTTACAGATTAAAGGTTTGTGGCAGCCCTGTGTTCAGCAAGCCTATCAGCGTCATGTTTCCAACAGTATGTGCTCACTTCATGCCTTTATGTCACATTTTGGTAATTCTCACAATATTTCAAACTTTTTCATTATTATTATATCTGTTAATGGTGATCTGTGGTCAGTCATCTTTGATGTTACTATTGTAATTGTTTCAGGGCGCCATGAACCGTGCCCGTATGAGACGACAAACTTACTTGATAAGTGTGTGTGTTCTGACTGCTTTATCAACTGGCCATTCACTCATCTGTCTCCCTTTATTCAGGCCTCCCTATTCCTTGAGACACAACGATATTGAAATTAGGCCACTTAATAACCCTGCAGTGGCCTCTAAATGTTCAAGTGAAAGGAAGCATTGCACATCCCTCACTTTAAGTCAAAAGCTGGAAAAGATTAAGCTTAGTGAGGAAGGAATGTCGAAAGCCAAGATAGGCCAAAAGGTAGGCCTCTTGTGCAAACATTTAGCCAAGTTGTGAATACAAAGGAAAAGTTCTTGAAGAAAATTAAAAGTGCTACTCCAGTGAACACATAAATGATAAGAAAGTGAAACAACCTCATTGCTGATATGGAGAAAGTTTTAGTGTTCTGGATAAAAGAATCAAACCAGCCACAACATTCCCTTAAGCTAAAGCCTAATCCAGAGCAATGCCCTAACTCTCTTTGATTCTCTGAAGGCTGAGGGAGGTGAGGAAGCTGCAGAAGACAAGTTTGAAGCTAGCAAAGGTTGGCTCATAAGGTTTAAGGAAAGAAGCTGTCTCCATAACCTAAAAGTGCAAGGTGGAACAGCAAGTGCTGAGGTAGAAGCTTCAGCAAGTTATCCAGAACATATAGCTAAGATAATTGATGAAGGTGGCTACACTAAACAACAGATTCTCCATGTAGACAAAACAGCCTTTTATGGGGAGAAGATGCCATCTAGGACTTTTATAGCTAGAGAAGAGAAGTCGGTATCTGACCTGAAATATTCAAAGGACAGGCTGACTCTCTTATTAGGGGCTAATGCAGCTGGTGACTATAAGTTGAAGCCAATGCTTATTTGCCATTCTGAAAATCCTAGGACTCTTAAGAATTATGCTGGCTTCAGCAAGCTCCCAAAATAAAGAATCTAGAAATTTTCTTGAGGAAGAGAATTTCTTGGAATTACAAGTGGCAGAATACAAAAGATTAATGCACAGAACTCTTCAAGACATCAGGAAGGAGATCTGGCAACATGCAGACCTATCAATAGAGGAACTTAAGAAGATTAGAGAAGAGCATAATGACAAATTTAACAGGCTGCAAGAATCCATAGAGAGACAGCAATAAGAAATCCAGAAGATTAACAATAAAATTTCAGAATTAGACAACTCAATAGAAAGTCATAGGAGCATAATTGAGGCAATGGAAGTCAGAATTAGTGAGACTGAAGATAAAGTACTTGACACCAACTTATTTGAGGAAAAATCAGATAAAAGGATTTTAAAAAATGAAGAAACCCTAAGAATTATGTGGAAATATATCAAGAGGAGTAAGCCACAAGTGATTGGACTACCAAAATGGGGGAGGGGGATAACAGAAAATACGGAGAGAATTTGTTGAAGATTTGTTAGCAGAAAACTGCCCTGATATCATGAAAGATGGGAAGATATCTATCCAAGATGCTTATCGAACCCTACATAAGGTAGATCCCAAAAGAAAGTCACCTAGACATATTATACTCAAACTTGCCAAAAGCAAAGATAAAGAGACAATTTTAAGAGCAGCTAAGGATAAACAAAAAGTCATCTACAAAGGAGAGTCAATAAGAATAAGCTCAGACTGCTCAGAAGAAACCATGCAGGCAAGAAGGCAATGGGATGACATATATAAAGCCTTAAAGGAAAAAAATTGCCAGCCAAGAATTATATATCCAGCAAAACTGTCTCTTAAATATGATGGCAAAATTAGCCATTTCCAGATAAACAGCAGTTTAGATAATTTGCAAAAACCAAACAAAAATTACAAGAAATACTAAAGGGAGTCCTCCGGTTGGAAAATCAGTAACATCAGATAACAATCCAAGACTAAAACACAGGACAGAGCAACCATATATCAATCCAGACGGTAAGTCACAAAAATAAATCAAAGCTAAAACACTGCAAATAGGGAAACAGAGATGTCATATGTAAAAGATGACAACATTAAAACAAAAAAGAGGGACTAAAAAATGTAGACATAGATTTTTCATATGCAGAGGAAGTCAAGGCAGTAAAAAGAAATAAAAGACTGTTTTAAACTTAGAAAAACAGGAGTAAATACTAAGGTAACCACAAAGGAAACTAACAATCCTACACATCAAAATAAAAAACAAGAAAAAATATAAAGACTCAGCAAATACAAAATCAACAGCAATGAGAAAGATAAAAAGAAAATACATAAAGAAAAACTCAGCACAGAAAATTGAGTGGAACAACGAAACTGTCAACAACACATAAAAAAAGACATCAAAATGATAGCACTAAACTCATACCTATCAATAATTACACTCAATGTAACAGGACTAAAAGCACCAATAAAGAGACAGAGAGTGGCAGAATGGATAAAAAAACACAATCTGTCTATATGCTGCCTACAAGAGATATACCTTAGACTTCAGGAAACAAACTAAAACTCAAAGCATGGAAGAAAACATGTCAAGCAAACAACACTCAAAAAAGAGCAAGAGTGGCAGTATTAATCTCTGACAAAATAGACTTTAAAGTAAAATCCACCACAAAAGATAGGAAGGACACTATATAATGATTAAAGGGTCAATACACGAGGAGGGCATAACTATAATAAATATTTACGCACCCAGCGACAGAGCTCCAAAATACATAAAACAAACTCTAACAGCATTGAAAAGAGACATAGACAGCTCCACAATAATAGTAAGAGACTTCAACACAACACTTTCAGTGAACGACAGAACATCCAGAAAGCAGCTCAATAAAGACATGGAAGATCTAAATGCTACAGTCTACAAACTTGATCTCATGGACATATACCGAACACTCCACCCAACAGCAACTAAGTATACTTCCTTTTCCAACACACATGGAACATTCTCTAGAAAAGACCACATATTAGGCCATAAAGCAAGCCTTAACAAAATCCAAAACATCGAAATATTACAGAGCATCTTTTCTGACCATAAAGCCATAAAAGCAGAAATCAATAACAGAAAAAGCAAGGAAAAAAAATCAAACACATGGAAACAGAACAACACCTTGCTCAAAAACTCCTGGGTTGTAGAAGAAATTAAGGATGGAATAAAGAAATTCATAGAGTCAAACAAGAACGAAAAACATCATACTAGAACCTTTAGGACACAGCAAAAGCAATGCTCAGAGGTCAGTTTACAGCAATAAATACACATCCAAAAAGAAGAAAGGGCCAAAATCAAAACATTAACCCTACAACTGGAACAAGCAGAAAAAAAGCAGCAAAAGAAGCCCTCAGGCACCAGAAGAAAGGAAATAATAAGAATTAGAGCAGAATTAAATGAAATAGAGAATAGAAAAACCATTGAAAGAGTTAACAAGACGAAAAGCTGGTTCTTTGAAAAGATCAACAAAATTGATAAACCATTGGCCAAACTGACAAAAACAGGAGTGAAAGCAAATAACCCATATGAGAAATGAGATGGTTGATATAACTACAGACCCAACGGAAATTAAAAGAATCATAACAGCTTACTATGAAACACTGTACTCTAACAAATTTGAAAACCTAGAGGAAATGGATAAATTTCTAGAAACTCACTACCTGCCTACGCTAACACAGACAGAGGTACAACAACTGAGTAAACCTATAACAAAAGAAGAGATTGA